AGATAGATAGATAGATAGATAGATAGATAGATAGATAGATAGATAGATAGATAGATAGATAGATAGATAGATAGATAGATAGAGACAGGTGGCTGGGTGGCTGGCAGGCAGGCAGGCAGGCAGAGACAGACATACAGATGATAGATAGAGAAACGTGTGTGTTGCAGTTATTACCTGTTTAACCTTAGCTACATCCCTAATAAAGGCTTCATCATCGACAAAATCCAGCAGCTTCTTTAGCTGGTTAAGATCAGTGAGGAAATCTTCTCCAATTCTCTGTATATTAAGAAAATAAAAATTATAATTAATAGAACTGATATTTTTCACAGCTGAATGCTTCTATTACTATGTTCATTTCCCATTGCTGTCAGATAAGTAGCAGTGTTTTGATATTGAGATGAAATCTGGTTCACTCTTATAGGTCTTGTTGACAATGAATAAGCTTGTTTAGGACTAACCGCTGAAATGGATACTGGGTATAATACAAGATGATTGTGCAAAAATGGAGAGAGAGAGAAAGAAAAAAGCAACATCTGCCTTGGTATAAAACGGCTTCTCCTTTGATGTCAAATAAATATCCATCTGATGTGGCTCAACTAAGAGGATCCACTGGCAAATGCAGTATTTGGAGAAGTCTATTTGGCAGAAGGCAATTGCCAATATTTGGAGTAACAAAGCTAACTAGCTGACTTTTTCTAATATTAAGGTGAATAAATGCTCATAATAATATTAATTATAGTTATTTTCATGATCAGCCAACATAGCCTGAATTTAAGCAGGCACTCTGCTTAAATTTTATGTTTCAAAGGAAATCTTAAGTAAGGAGAAGTTGACATATAGTCTACCTGATACAAAGTTGAACATGACTTTCTGCAAATCTGAATGCAGACTTACTATCTATCTACAGTTGTTTATAGATTCAAAATCATACTTTTGTCAGTCACCATATTGTTATGCAGTGTTCTAGAATCATCCTAGGTAAGGGACCAGATAGTCTGTCTCTTCTTTCTCCCCTCTTTTTGAAGGCGCTTCATCAGACTCTAGCTCAAACCTAACCAAGTATTTCTACAAGCATTTCCTATTGTCTGATATGTCTTGTATCTTACCTCCACAATAACTTCAGAGAGTCCTGGGTTACACAGTAGAAGCCATCGCCTGGGAGTGATACCATTGGTTTTGTTTTGAAATTTTTCTGGCTCTATTTCGTAGAAATCTTTGAATCTACAATGTATATGAGTGAGATACTGTAGTTTTAAAAGGAACAATGTCATATACATTATTTGGTGCCAGTTGGCATCATTAACTCTTTAGCAGCTCCTTTAAAAAAGAGAATAGTCATAGGATACATTTATGAAAAGCGTAATCCAGATCTTGAACAGTGCTAATTCTGCTCTGTTCCACATATACCAAAGTACTTCTGTTCTGTTTGAAGAACACTGATAAAGTGAAAGCAATTTAATATCTTCAGATACTCAGGACTAAAACTCCCAAAATACTTTTCAACAGAGCACTGATTGATAGAAATTGAAATGCAAACCATCTGGAAGTTACTAGATTGTAATCTAATATAGTTAATGATTATCTGCCGCTGAAAATGGATTATGCCTAGGAAATGTATCAAGATGAAGAAATATCTGGGAAACAGGTTATAAGCAAAAAGTTGCAGGTGATGGAAACAAGAAGTTTAAGATCAGACATGATAACCATTGGATGAAGCAGACATGTTCTATGTACATAGCAAAAGGAAGAGTGAGATGAACTTTAACATCCTTTTAAAATTCCATGTCTCAAAAAATGGGGAATGCTGTCTGGACTAAAATAATTCAAGCTGCATATACTTAAGAATAACAGAGAAGGACTATATTAAATCCAGTTTCTAGACTTGTTAGTTTTCTATGTGTGGGGAATCTTCTATTATGTAAATTTGTACCCGAAATGCAAATTCAGGAAACACAAACTAGCCATTCATTCATTCATTCATTCATTTATTCATTCATTCATTCATTCATTCATAATTTGTTAAATCTCAACGTGTATATTTTGTCCTCTCACTACTAAGCACTTCTGTTTTCCAGGCTATGTGTAAAATGAATAAAATCATTTATTTTAATAAAAAATAAATCAATATTTGTAAGACAGCAGATATGTATGAGAAGAAAAAACAATGCCTGCTTCTTAGATCAGTGACAAGTCTATGAAGAACACCAGGATAGACATCTTACTTATAACTAAGTAAAAGAGAAACAAGCAGGACTCACACAGAATTCTTCACAATCTCAGAGTGAATCTGAGCCACTCCATTGACTGCATGAGAACCAATGACACACAGGTGGGCCATATTGATCCTCTTGCAATCTCCTTCCTCAATTACAGACATCCTTCGGAGGCGGTCAACATCTCCAGGAAAGAGGGAAGCCACATACTGATAGAATGTACAAAATAATGGGAATGTTAGGACAACAAGCTAAATCATATCTCACAATGAATTCACTTAAACTGAAAAACATGAACAAATCCTCCAAAGTTCAGGAGAGGTAAAACTATTTTACATTTTTAAAAAGAATATCACCATCCCCCAGAGAAGCCAGCTCAATCAGAGTTTTGACACCACCATTTCGCACTCTTGAACTATTGCAAATGCAGAATTTGAATACTGTACCTTCTAACAAAAGACATCAAGATCTATTCAAGGATGATATCAATGACACTGAAAAAGACATGCTAGCTAGGCCATACTAACAAAGATATCCTTAAACATGGTCAACTCATCAGCTTCTAAGCCTGATAGTTTTAGCAAGACTATGTAGACTGCTGCTTCCCAGAGGTTGGTACTGTCAGCAGTAGTGAATTGTGGACACTGTAACACAAGAAATATGTGATAGCAGGTGGATGACTGATGTTGTTTTACTGATTGTAGCAAGACCACAATAATCTGAAGCCTAAATATGACTGATTCTACCCATGCTATTATTCTATCCACTTGCTAGAGCTGAATAGCTCTAGAGCTCTTTGCTATGCAGCAAGGTGGCCAGAGAATGTTCAACATGGCATAAAAAAGATAGCTAAACTAATTCAATAAAACTGCTATGTCTGATGTACATGTTATCATTCAACTACAAATGACAAATTAAGTTTCTTCTGGTTTGCCATTAGATGTCTCACTGAGCTTCATCTGATGCTAGCAATGTAGGGTCACATACATTAAGCATTTACCTGCAAAATAATGTTCAAAACCACACAAAATGAAAAAAATAAACACTTTAAAATTGCCAAATTCTTACAAGATCATCAAAACTTTGAGGATTTTCTTGTCTTCACATGAGGTTAGTGAAATCTTATGAGAGCACTAAGACTTGCAATATCTTGAGCCTCCCCTTCCTTTCTGTGGGCCACCGTGTGAGATCATGAGAGTATATAATTGCCAACCTCTGGTATCCTCTCTCTGCCTCTCCCAAGTCCTTTTTTTTCTCATTTAGATGACTTACATCCAAATGTTTTTGGTTGATAGCATAAATGATCTCCAGGTGCCTTGGCAGGAGCTTCTCAAACATAGACACCGGCCAGCGCTCTAGGGCCTCAGGCAGCACTGTATGATTAGTGTATGCACAGGTTCGTTTTGTGATTTCCCAGGCCTAGAACCAAAGACACAAATGAATTAATGTGATTAGAAGCAAATTCTATGGGCTGAAAATAAATGGTTGTAACTTCAAATGGCATTAATTTCTGATACTTGCCATGGAGATTACCCTGATGCTGAGCTGTAACTTATTGGTTGCAGCCTCATTATTAATGAAAAAGCCACACATTAATGAAACTGAAATTCCATTGACGATGGTTCTAGAGCTAAGTAAAGAGCTTGAAGTATCATAGGAGTACGGTAGTCATCGCATACAGAATCAAAACCTGTCTCTGTGTCTAGTTGTTTTGGTATGCAATGCCCTGTGGAGGCAACCCCAGGGGAGGGGTTGAACAGTTTATGTCCAGAATGTGAGAGGTCCGTAGATATTTTCTCAGTCCTCCTTGTGACCCATGCAATATTCAGGTCCTCAATTGAAGGCAGGCTGGTTGTAATTATTTTTTTCTGCATTCCTAACTTTCAGCTGAAATCTGTGCTTGTTCTGTTTGGTTGCGGCACCAAACCAGACAGCTGTAGAAGCACAAATGACAGGCTCAATAATTCCTCTGTAGAACTGTATTAATAGCTCCTGGGGCAGACTGCATTTTTTGAGCTGACACACGAAGAATATTCTTCGTTGTTCCTTTTAAATGATGGTTCTAATGTTAGGTGTCCATTTCAAATTCTGGGAGATTATAGAACCCAGAAACTTGAAGGTCTCTACTGCTGATACTGCACTGTCTAATATAGTAAGAGATGGTAGAATAGGAGACCTGTTCCTAAAATCCACTCTCATCTCTACAGTTTCAAGCATGTTCACTCCAGATTGTTCCAGCTGTACTACAGGACCAATTGTTCAACGTCCTGTCTTCATGCAAATTTATCATCATCTCAAATGAAACCAATGACTGTTGTGTCGTCATTAACTTTAAGAATCTAGTTTTTCACCATCTTGGCTAGAAATTCTAGAAAATGCAATCCCGTGATATCTGGGGGAAATCAAGTTGAAGAAGGAGAATCTCTTGGTAGTTTCTGAAAAAAACTTGTTGGGGATCAAAAATTGTGTCTTTCCTGCCTCCCACTCAACTCTTACCTTATCCCAATCCATATGTTCAACATCAACAAAGATCCTTATGAGCTCAGGAATGGAGAGAGCAGGATGAGTGTCATTTAGCTGAATGGCAACCTGTAAAATGGATAACATAAACTTTAATATGAAAATCTCTATTATTTCCATCCAGAAAGAGCCCAATGAGTCCATGGAACACAATGGAAAATCTGATTTCATTTTATGTTGATGGCAACTTGGTGACCCCAGACCAGCTCAATTCCTAAATATAAAGAGGAAAAAAAATATTAAGGACTCTGGAGGAACTACAGGGTTTAGTCATACATAATCTGGCCAGTAACCATGTCTTGAACTTGATATTTAATCAAGTTTTAAAAAATAAACTTTTAATCCCTATTAAAAGTTAAAAAAACCCAGAAAATACGCTAAAGAAGTATTTCGGGCTGTAATTTTCATTACTGGTGCTTATTGCTGAATTTGTTTTGTGAATTTGATACTGTATTGCAAACAGTTTCAGAAACCCATCATTATTCAGGATATCCAACTTACAAGGTTCTAGACAAAGATGATTGGTAAAATTTATAAAATCTGAATAAATCCATAAAAAATTCTGGAAGCATTTGCTAATATAAAATTTATTAAAAATTTGTTGTCACTAAATAATGTAAACATCATGGTATTAAATAACAACAAAAACAAAAATAATGGCATAAGTCTATGCACACCACTAATAGTACTGCAAAGATCAGCCCAACAGGACTTCAGGAGATTCTAGTGTTAAGCAACATTTTGGTTTTACTTTTCTTAAGATCAAAAGACTACCAAACATTGTCTGAAAGAGAGATAAAGGTATTCTTTAAAATTAAAATGATTTATTTCAAGATTTGTACAAGCCCTCATGTGAAATGTTCACCTTGTCGGGGAAGGTTTCAAAACAGGTCCTCACTGGGTCACGGCATCCAAATTTGGAAGACTTGAATCGTCGTATGATGTCCTGGAGAGTGGCAGCTACCACAAAGTACTCCTGTTTCAGACGCAATTCCTTTCCTTCAAAAAACTTAGCAACACAGACGGGAAAGGAGGTTATATTAGTCTATGTCAGAAGCAGCACTATGAAGCTACCAAAAGAAAGCAGGCTAATAATGGAAATGATCTGAGGGATTGTAAAAATCAAGCTCCTTTCCACAGCGAAAGAAAGAGATGAGATGGACTTTGCTAATCAGGTTTAATCCTCAGTGGTTTTCCTATCTCAGGTCCATATTGTATATAAAAGGCAGCCTTCTTTTAATAAGTTTTTACAAACATTCACATTCACATTTGTGGATCAGCACTGATCCCAAGAACATGGAAACTCTTAGTTTCTTCTGAAAATAAATGGGACTTTAAGGACGCTTAATTCTCCCTGTATTGTATACCCAGTGGAGTTGACTTGGATATAGTGCAGTAAATGTAAAAGTCTGAGCAGAGGAAAAGTTTGCTACGGAGTGGTATGCTCCTGAACAGAGATTTATTCAGAACAGAGGACAGAATGCAGGAAGATGGAACTAAGGAAAACTATACAGAGTAAATGCATGCAAGCCAAACATCACTTGTGCCTTTCACATAATTTTCATAAATTTTAGTCTCTTATTATAGCTTCTGCATTTCTCCTTCCCATCAGGAGTTGTTTTATGAAAATGGTGAGAGGTTCATCGGAGAAGTGGAAACTGGAGGATCACACTCAAAACACACAAGCAAATAGTTTTTTCTAAGACAGTCAGCAGAAAAGCAGCCAAATCCACAATCCACAATTCACTAAAATAGATTTAACGAAGCATTTAAACTGTACTTACACTGCACAATGCAGCAGATACTTACATTATCATTGGGATACAACACTCTGGATATGTTTTCTGCTAGGTTTCTATCCAACACAGCTTCGATATAATCACCAACATTAACTATGAAGGAGAATGAAGATATAGCTCAGAGTAGTTACATCAATGAAATGGAATACTCCAAGAGCTATACGTGTTTATCACGACACAGCAGTCATTTCATAACATTTCCTTACTTTACCTTTGTTCACTGAAGTTTTCAAAAGTTTCAACTTGTAACTCATATTGTTTACAAATTCAACAGGAAAACATTCCAAGTTGAATTTATTTTAAATGTGAAATAAATGTATGGATTCCTTGCCTAACTGTCTGTCTAGCTCTCAAGAGTTTTACTCTGGAATTGGATTTCACCATCTTTATTATTTTGGAAAAAATAATGGATATACATTTCTAAGGAGATGTGCAAAAGACCGTCTCGGTTTTCAGTATATCAGGTAATTAATGGGGCTTGGTTTTAGAGGTTAAATGAAGCTTTCTTCATTGGGTTTATTTACTATGATGTGTTCTCAGGAAAAAGAAAAGAAAAGGAACACCAGCTGCCAAATGTTTGCCTTGCACATATTTTGTTAATTTACTGGACATGTAATTTTTGTTTCTTAAGTAGGACTAGGAGTAGAAGTTTGGCCCTTGGTGACTGGAATTTTACACTTCTGCCTTCATTGCCCCTTTTAAATTACCTCCCTCCAAACCACTCTGCTGTAGAAAAGAAGCTGCTTTTAGTGGCAATAACCCGATTCCCCTTCTTTTGTGGATAACAGATTTGGGAAGCGGATTTTTATCAGACAAGGGGTAAAGAATGATGAGTCTCTGATGAGCCAGATTTCTCTTTTTGATTTTTCTCATGACTTCAGTTGAGATAAAAATAGTTTTGCATATACATGCATACATTCTATTCTATAAGAATGGAAATAGATAAACTGGCTCCAACTATATGTTCTATTTACATTTCCTTTTGTACAGCAGATACTGAAGAGAAGAGGGTTGTGTCATTTGGATTATTTAGACGTCCCTTGAACATACTTAGAAAGTATACAGAGACTTTCTTTGCTACATGCTTAGATTCTAAAAAGGTAATGTCAAAGGTGGGTAAAATGAAGACCCAGATTGTCTGGGGGCAATATGCTGACTCTGTAAACTGTATGAAAAACTTTTAACATTGAATAGAATAACATAGAATAACAGAGTTGGAAGTAATCAAGCCATAATCAAGCCCATAAATGATCCCTTTCTCCTGTTTCATGTGGGGACAAAGAACCTGAAATAACAAGAGATTATGAGCAGCTAGGCATGAAAACAAAAGAAGTAGGAGTACAGATGTACTTTCAACATAAGGTCAACATCCAATGAGAGAATGGAGAATTTTAGAATTTTAGGAGAATTTTAAACTACCGATTTGAAGGATGATGCCACTGAGACAACTTTGGATTCACAGATCATGGTCTACATTACCTACATGAAGGGTTTCTGGAAGGGGATTAGCTGCATCTCACAAGAACTGGGAAGAATGGTTTGGAAAATAATTGGCTCAGCTTATCTCAAGGGTCTGCAACCTGTGGCTCTGGAGCCACATGCAGCTCTTTCAGCCCTCTGCTGCAGCTCCCTGTCAGCTGATCCCACCACTGGCTGGCCCCTCCCCTCCCCATCACTCCTCACCTGGCCTGAGAAGGTAACGTTGATGATGGGGGATGGAGACTCGCTCCATATTCCAGAGCAGGAGATGACTGGGTGGGAGTGAGTGATGTTGAGTTGGCCACGCCCACCCAGTAACATCGGTTGTTAAATTATTGGCTCCTGGTATTTTCTTCTCTGTAGCAAATGGGTCAAATGGCTCTTTGAGTGTTTAAGGTTGCAGACCCTGGCTTATCTAAAGGGCTCTAAAGGGCTTTAAACTAAAATTGGAAGGGGAGGGAAATCAATCTTTAGGTCCCAATCCCAAACATAAACCCCAAGACAACCAATCAAACAATTAGGTAGGTAGTGATGAGTAGTGATGAGAAGGAAGGGGAACTTAGATATAAAACAGGAGGCCGGGGGAGGCGGGGAAATGCAGGAGCAGCCATAAAAGATGCCTATACACTAATGCTCAAAATATAAGGAACAAACAGGGCAAACTTGAATTTAAAAAAACTGATAAAATAAACAAACACTTATATAATGATCTTAATCATTATTAAGACTACTTACACTCTTCAAGGTTGAAATCATTGGGTGCCTTGGCTGACCACAGTCTCATAGTATTAACTGTATTGTTCTTGTATCCTGGAACCGGTGTATCATAAGGCATGGCAAGAACAACCTAAGGTGGAGCAAGAGATCAAATAAAGATGGGCTAACACAGTGACATAAAAATGATAGTAACCTGTAATTAAAGGGCGCTGCAATTGTTCACTCAAGTATATCACGCTCATTTTGTTTAAAAATGTGATTTACAATTCTAAACAGCCTAACTTAATATATTGCAAATAATAACATGAGACAAATAAAAAGCATTGATATTACACAGCAAAATAGACCCTTGTATCCTCAATAGTAAAGCATTCCCAATAGAAAAACCAAAGGAGAAAAGAAGATAATTCACGCCTCTCTTTAACTTGGTGGCATTTCAAAAAATTCAGCACTGGGGCTCCGCAGGTCTTGCTAGGCAAGCACTTGACAGAACAAAGAAGGATCTGATGTTCTTTAATCTGCAAAGGAACTTGGAACTCAGTCACAGATGTTATTAAATGAAGCTTTCAGAGAAGACTGTTCTTTGAAGGGGCTGGAAGTGAACGTAATTATGTAATTCTCTCCATTCTTGGCAGTTTAGCAACCCTAACTTTCCTCTCTCACAGTCTCCATTATCTCCTGAAGAATGTCTTTGTTAGCAGAACAACATCAAGAACAAAACCACCTCTAGGTTCAATGCAATACGCTAACTCGGGGCTACTCTTGTGTGGTTCAGAGTAAGCTACAACACAATCCCCAGATCCCTCTTCCCCATTCTCTGCCCTCCTCTGTTCATCTAGAGTTGCATTTCCTATCTGCTTTTGACCAGACTTTGTTTACCCTAAATGCTGCCCTCTTGCCTCTCTGTCTGGGTCATCCACTCTTTCTTCTTTCCATTGTGCCCAATCGTTTTCTTTCCTGTGCTTTTCCATCTAGCTCTCCCTGTTAACGTCCTCTTTCTTGTCTACCCAAATTCCTTCTGACGTGCATGAGCCAGCCTTTCCTGCCAACCAGACCTGATTCTTTCCAGTCTATTCATTCTCCTCCAACCGCCACTTGCAGCTCTTTCTACCCTCTGCCCAATCAATCTATCCAGCATGCACAAACAAAATGCACGCGCACACACACATGCAAAACTTCACTGACCTTATTTCACTGCTTTTCCCCAGCCTCCCTGTGATATGTTCACTTACTCACTTGCTTATAGGCTGCAGGTTCTTTGTTCCTTCCAAATGGGAGGAGAAAAATGTAATTTTTTTTCTTTAATGTGGGCCATTAGACCAAGACTGTGTTTTACAGTCCCTTCTACTTTACATTTTATAAAAACAAAAACACGTCCTTTTTCTGGGTTGGAAGGAAGAAGCGAGCTGCTTCTTTCATCTGTTCCAAAGCAAACAAAAAAGTTGTGTGCTTTTTGCATCGGTAGAAAAGTTTTGAAGTGGCAGCTTCTTTTTTTAGTGTAATCCTCATAATTTCTTCTAAAATTAGTCATATAATTTAAGAACAAATATTAGAATATAAAGGAATAACATCAAATATAAAAAATAAAGAATAAATAAATTCAAAATAAAGAAACAAAAAATAAATAAAAACAAAAACGAGTATAAGATGCAATTAAAAAAATAAATTTGTGCCCTCAGCCTCTTTTAAGAGTACGACTTTCAAAATACGTCATAAGCCCAATGCAGCTTTGTAGTTACCAAACATTGGGTATTATTCCATATATTGCTTTATTAGTTTATTGAATAAACCTTAAATGTTTAAAATCACAAAGCACATTAAGCCAGAATAGAATAAACTATATTTTAATATGGCATGATTCCAGGATATATTGTTTTGATTTAAACAGGCTTATGTTTTAATCAAAGGGTATCTATGTGATACAGAATGGTGGTTTGCTGGCTTGATCCAACCAGGCTCTTCATATGCACTTAAGCCACAGACGGTAGATTTGCTAGACTCAAGTGACATAAATCTATTCGTAATACACAAGTAAATAATTGTGGAAGACTATTTAAATTGGGATTTAGTCCTGACAAGCTTGGCATGCTGCTTTGTCCAATTCTGATCTACCTCATGATAGCATAGGCTATCAGCAAGCACCAAATGACTTGATTTATAAAAAACCCAAACACCCATGGGAAGTTTATCAGCTAGTCAAGTATCTCCTAACAAGTGAAAAATGAAACACTGAGTAATTACAACTATCCATGGAAAATCATGTATTCCTAAACAGTTGAAAAATGGCATCAAATTTCAGTTTTGCATGTCTCTCTAGTCATTCGTTTAGTCAATCTGTCCAAGGAGAGCTGCTGTTTAAACCAATTATATGCTGCTCAACAACAAATGTGGAACACTGTGGCCCAGGGTCTATGTAGAAAACATAGAGAGGCTCAAGCCATAACAGGTCCAAATAAGGTTTGCAAGCACAGAAGCCTATGTTTTAAATTGCTCTGAAGGTTTTTAATGTTTGCAAAAGCTCATGCTGCAATAAATCCATTTGTTTCTAAAGTGCTATAAGATATTTGCCTTTAGAACTGACATGGCATTCAGAAATATGACAGAATCTGTTCTTTTGAGAACTGAAGAATTATCCAAACATTTGGATAATTAAAGACTTGTAATCTAGAACCAATTCCCATTCCTTACTGTGCCATTGTGTTTATAGTAGACTGAGACCATTGTTCTTCTACCTACATAACATGGTTTTTCTCAATTTTTTCTTTTTTAAGCTAAAGACCCAGATGTGCGGCTTTATTAATTTGTTCTTATATGCTGCCTATACTCCTTAGGGATTATGGATATGGTATTCTCAACATATCTGGAAGGTACCAAATTATGAGAGCAAATAAAATAAAATCTTTGCATCAATTGCATGGAAATTGATCTGATTTGGATCAATTCATACAATGTTTGTGGAAGCATTCATATACAACTACAATTAAATTTTACTCAAAATTGACTGTCTGATTTCCAAATAATTTAGAATGAAATCAACATAAAAACTAGAATAATTCAAACTGCATTATTGACACATTCCTAATGTCTGTTGTCAAAGCTATTCAGGCAGCATTTATTGCTCTTACCTCTGCTTTCTTTGATGCTTCCTCTGATCATTACCCTACTAAATGGCTGTTCTCACCCAACCCTTCAATGTGAATTGTAATCCAGCAAACTGGGGAAGTTCTACTGATTGATTTTATCCTTGTAACATTGAGGATAGGTAGACAAGTACTCATTTCTATTGTCAAAGTCTCCATACCAAAACTATTGCCATATAATATATCTGTTTTGGCTATTTTGTTCTTGTAATTAATGGTTTTCCATATGTAGCTTTAAAAGGTATACCTGAGTATCAACCCATTTAACCTCATTAGGAGTATGAACTACTCGACCATAGAAATGTACAGGAAGCATGTATTCCGGGCGGGCTTTTTCCCAAGGATTGCCATAGCGCAGCCAATCATCGGCTTCTTCCACCTAAAACAAGGAGAAATGACTTACAAATTGTCTTCTTTGCCAATGAATTGTGATTAATGAGCAAGAGCTTTTTTAACAGCTGAATGAAAGTGGGGGTACCCTCCCCAAATATGTTCACTTGATACAGCACTGCAGTCACTCTGGTCCAAATAATGATCTTTTCATTTTTCAAGCCTTTAATTTTAAATATATATCTTTGTTTTAATTGTCATAATCAATGCATTGGGATATATATGATTATGAAACAGAAAGTTTATCATGCATTTCTTGATTTTAAGAATGTATAATAAACCTAACTGAATTGCTTATCATAGCAAAAGCAATAGCACTTAGACTTATATACTGCTTCACAGTGCTTTACATCCCACTGTAAGCAGTGTACAGTTTACAATATTGCCCCCAACAATCTGGGTCCTCATTTTACCGACCTCGGAAGGATGGAAGGCTAAGTCAACCTTGAGCCGGTGAGGATCGAACCACTGGCAGTCTGCAGAATTAGCCTGCAAAACTACATTCTAACCACTGCACCACCACGGCAGGAATTCTTTGCACAAATACAGAGTTGAAAGTTGTTTCCTAAGTGCAGTAAGAGTAGCATGTGATAGAAATAAAGTATGTATGAGAATGTTTAACAAATGGTTCAACATTGCACATGGATTAAGACAAGGATAGGTGATGTCTTGGAATAAATGTACAGTATAAAGGAAAGCTTCTGGTGTTGTTAGAGGTAGATCAGTTGGGAACATGTGTGTGTGTACCTTTGTATGCCATGTTGTTGACAGAGAACCTGAATAATTTGTAGCAAACATTAGAGATGATTTTAAGATGCAATGAGCAGAATGCACCTGAAAATCAGCGCATCTGACTCCAGCAGATATGTCTGACAGGGAAATTGAAATGAACAATTGCCAGTTATGCATAAATGGCAAAATATAAACAAGAATATTTATGTTTCTTGGTAGAAGTTTACAAAAGATGAAAAAAAATGAATGGAGAAATTTTAGTAACTGCACATGTTGGTAGCAATGTAGTGGGTAGAAATGAGTCATGTTGTAAGGAATGAATATGGGGGGAAAAAATCAAATGGCTGCACATAACATCATCTCCAACAAACTCACTTATAATGAAAGTATCTTATACATTTATCAGTGCACGAACTATGACAATTTTAATTTTTTATGGCTAAAATCTTAGAAGATGCTGCCAGCATTAGTTTTATTATATTATGGTTCCTTAGTTCACCTATATAGCTTCAAAGTCTGGCATCATGACAGTAGCATTTTATGATGCTAGTAATCAATTAGGATAATCTGTTAAATATGCGGCACACCAGGCTTTTCCACAAGATTTCTCAAAGTTGCCCTTATGGACAATACCTAACCTAAGATACTGGTGTTTACCAAGCTGCCATCAGCTGCTGCATCTAGTGCTTATAACTGGCAATGCTAATTACTTAAAGAGCTAGTTGTAAAATATGTTTTGTGGGCCTATGTAAGGATGAGTCAACATACAGCTGCCTCTACAGGTTAATTTCAGTTTATATTAGTTTGGCAGCAGACCCACTTTCCAGAGTAATGGGTCAACCTTCACTGGATGTGTTCAAGCTGAATCTATAACCCTGCACTGAGCTGAAGGCTGGACTTGACTAGCTAAGTGACTCTGTCCAAAGTCAATGATTTTATGACTTTTAGTCAGCATGGCCACTTCACAGGCGCTGCAGCCTAACAAGTGGATGCCCACAAGTTACTTACTCCATCCTTAGAGGTAATGTGATGGGTATATATTAATGCAACCTCAGCTTTTTTAATTAAAAGAAGTGGTCCAAAACAGCTCCACAATGAGGAACCACTTGAAAAGTCTCCACTGGCTTCATTTGGCACTGCATTTTTTTCTGAGGTAGGACCCCTCCTTGACAATAAAATATAGACTGTCCTTTCTTAGTAACAGTAATTGGGATCAGGATTTCTGTTGCTAAATGATGTGGTCACAAAACATGACATTGTGTGACTACACTGCTTGGCAATGGCAGTTCTGGCACTTCCAGTTGCCGTCATTAAGCAAATCCTGTGCCCTCATTAAACATGATCTCACATGGTCACTGTTTGTGAGCCCCTGCCAGCTTCCTCACACTGACGTTGTTTGTTAGAAGCTGGTAACAAAGATTGCAAAAGGCAATTGCACAACTGGGGGAAAAGGCAGCGCATAATTGCAAACTGATTACCAACCGCCTGGATCCCAATGACGTGACGGTCAGGATGCTGTGACCATTGCAAGTACAAAGATCAGTCACAAGTACCATTTGTTCAGCACCATCACAAGTTTGAACTGTCAGTGGTTGTTAAACAAGGATTACCTGTATAGCCTTTGTCTACAGATAAGACTTGGCTTCAATTTTGGGTATCTATGATTAAAAGATTCTCAAATAGTAGACTTATGCAACTGACATTCTTTCCTGCTGTTTTTCCCTAAGGCTTTGGACAAGCTTTAGCTACCATCACAGTCCTCTCTCAAGCTTGATTATCACTAAGAGTACCTGACAAGACAGATAGAAGTAAGGAATGATCTTTCCCTCACCTGCCAGCCATTGACAATCTTTTGATTAAAAATGCCAAATTCATAGCGAATCCCATAGCCATAGGCTGCAAGCCCCAGTGTTGCCATAGAGTCCAGAAAGCAAGCTGTCATGGAAAAGAACCAACACACATTACTGCCCAACAGAAATAAACACCCAGTCAAGCAGCTGTTACTGATGCAACTCAGTGTGTTTGTGTTTAGAAGACTGCACACCACGTCGTTCCCCCCTCCCACAAATGAGAGTGGAATAGTGGCTAAGAGATTGAGCTAAAGACATAAAGGTCTTTTATTTCAGCTCTTCCATGATCTCACAAAATGGCCTTAGTAAAGGCACCTTTTCTCAGCCCCAATCCCCATGTTATTCAGGCAATAAGATTATAGTACCAGGTCTCAGAGTTGTTATGTAAAGATTATTACTAGGTAAAAAAAACAACAGTTTTTAATATAATAATATAATATAAATTACATAAAAAGGTCTTTGTATCAGTATTGCAAACAGTTCTCCATTTCATCATAGCATGTTACATGTAGAACAATCTAAGTGCAGCCATGCTAAGTCTGACAATGCAGAATTCAGCTTCTCACACCCACCCAGCAAGATGCTTAACAAGGCAGTTGGTTGACTGAGAGCCTTTTCAACTCTGCATCCTATTTTATCAGTGCTACACTCCACCTCCTCATTTTCTCTGAATCCTCTTATATTCCTGATTGCAATACAAATGGTCTTCCTCTTTAGAAATGTACTGGCATCTTCTAATCAACAGTCACTGCTCACCTGCCAGACGCCCCAGTCCTCCATTGCCAAGGCCAGCATCTTCCTCAATCTCTTCCAACTCTTCTAAGTCAAGGCCAAGCTAATGTGAGGAGTAAGCAAAAGACAGGAAATACCATCAAGTATATAGTTTTATACTTGGAATTTGCAATTTCTTTCATTTTAGCCTTCTGTTAAAGGAAGAACAATTCTGATTCTTTCTGATCTTGGAGTAAAGTTAATTTATACATTCTATAATTTAGGTTGGATCTCTATGCTTTTTATGAACATTGAAAAATTTAACATCACTGCATGAATGGAATATCTGTTTATGTGAAATACCTTATAATCACCTCACTTCCAGTTTCTGACCCTTTTCTGATAGGATTCTTAAAAAGAGTGTTAGGGTTTTGTGGATTAACCCCTAGAAGAGTATTGCAGCAGTAG